TTTTTAAGTGGGAGAACTTGCACAATTGTTGGCTGACTAAATACTTTTTTGCCCCACTGTATGTATTCACAGAGCAGAATGTTCTGATTTAAGCATCTTAGCATTTACTACAAAAGAATGGCCACAGTACTATACCATCACTGCCTGTTGTAAATCTTGGATAGTAGCCTTCTGCGATACTTTCACACATGTATTTCTAAACAATGCATCTCCTGGATGTACCACCAGACTTGATTTATCTGACGGAAGATCTACAGTCACAACTTATCTACTGCATCTCACCTCCAACTGTAATGCAGTAATTTTAACAGCATACATTGGATAAAAGTATGTTTTTAGAAGGTCAGTGGGTACGGTTGGTTTTCTAAAAATTGCTTCAACAACTTGCACTCCATCTGTACCCTCACTACTCTTCAGTACACACTGATGGAAATTTTATAAAGCACAGACTACATCCAGTAGCTCCTTTTCTGTGAGTATAACTTTGCGATACTGAAAGCTTAGAGGCATAATAAACCATGAACCACCTGATTTAGATGCAGCAAAATATTGTTAATGTTTGACACAGATTTCCTTTTATTTGAATGCCTGTTTATGTTTCTGGCATTAACTGAAACACAGTATTCTTGCTTAATAAGTGGGCATCCTTACCGAATTTAACATGGTCTTGCCAAGCCGTTCTCTTATGTGGAATCATGTCTTGCTCTTCTGACGTTTTTGTTGCAGTGATCATATAATTAGCTGTAAAAGTGAAGCTTATTAAAGAATAATTGCTCCCTTTGCAGCGTCAGTGAAAGGTCTGGACTTTCCAAAGTGCTACTCCCTTCTGCGATGGCAGTCATATTCAGTTCTTTCTGTGGCACCCTACAGACTAACAAATAATGGACTGATCCATTGAAGCTTTAGCTATAATAAACTTTAGTCTTTAAGGTGCTCTATGGTCTTCTGCTGCAAAATAGAGTTATTCTGGGTATTTCATTTTCTCAGCCTATGCAATTTGCTGCTCCACTGTTTCTTCTAATAGAGGGGAATATGTGTAGCTCAGGGTTGAACTCTGGAGTCCTTGGGGTTCTCTGAGCTTGGTTGTTTTCTTGCAAACGTTTCATTACCCGGTTAGGAACTACCAGAGGAACAAAACAAACCGCCCACCCCCACTGGCAAGGCATGCCACAGTATATAAACAGCAAACCCCATCCCATTCTAGCACTGAAGATGTTACCCAGCCGGGTAATGAGACGTTTGCAAGAAAAGAACCAAGCTCAAAGAACCCCAAGGACTCCATAGTTTCGCTTGGAAGTATCAGCTCTAAGGACTCATTCCTCTTCTGTGTTCTTTCTGGAGGCGACCCGCTGTGTACTAGAGCTTGGACTCTGCTTCCAACAGAGGAATAGAAGAAATATGGCTTTATGGACGCATGCCAAATAAACTAGTAGCAAATTTTACGTTCCTTTTTTTGGAAAGGGTTGGGGCTATTGCTAGTCTCGGAACTTAACCATGTTTCCTATGAAATGAGGATGGTACCCGCCGGAGAACTGCTCTGGCTAGAAGGCAGGAAGGGCTATAATCGATTAGTTGACAAGCCAGCATTCTCCTCCGCAATTCAGCAAAACAGTTTTGCAACCTAGATTCCACAGCATCCTAATTCGGATGGGATGCGTTCTGTAACGTGACGCACGAAAACGAACTGCCCGTTTGAAATGCTCTACGTCTCTATGGTCGCACACACTTGGAACGTAGAAATAGAGTCTGACAACTCTACCAAAAGCCCAAGTCTCTATGATCGCGTTCTGTCATGTGAACCAGCTGTCTGGGTGACGTGAGAAGAAAAAGCGTCCTGGCGATTGGCGGCCGGGGCTGAGAACGCTGCGTTCTAGGAGGATTGGTCGGGGCTTCGTCACGTGGGGAGTGGGAGAGAGCGAGCGCGTGCCGATCTCTGGGTGGGAGGGGGGCTCTTGAGCGCTCTTCTTTCAGCTACATGTGGAAGCAGCTGCTGGGGGTGACGGTCAGAGCCATGTCTGGGGGGGGGACCCGTCTTCAGCGCCCCCCGAAGGACCCGCTGCGGCACCTTCGCACGCGGGAGAAACGCCACGGGGCCATCGACCGCAAAGGCCCCAACACCGTATACGTGCAAGTGGTAGCAGGAGGATCGCGAGACATGGGAGCGGCGGTCTATGTCTTCTCTGAATACAACCGGTAAGCCTCCGCCTTGACATATGCGTCGCATGATTCTTCCCTCCGTTCAGTTTACTGCAGTACTGCATTGGCCTCCATTCTGTTAGGGTGGTGTGGTCACCTGCAGAATTAATTACCTCCTTGCTCCGGACAGTTTCTAGGAAGTGTGTTCGTGCACGTGTGTCTGTGTGACTAGCCTCGCTTTATCATGGGAGAAAACTCGTGGATAAGTACAGTTGACATTAAATATAGATTTTAAAAACTTACTGTATGCTGTCATATTATTTTGAAGGAAAAGCAGTTTGTTGGTAAGAAGATACCATCATAATAAAGAGCAATCTTATTTTACTTTTTTTTTCCCTAGAAGCTCTCCAAAAAGTGAGGTAGTATATAGAGAAAAGACACCTCATCTTATTAGCACTCTCTCTAAGCAATGCTACCACTCAGACTTCCATATTTCCTAGTGGAATTGAATTAAAGCTGTCACAGAAGCAGGTTGTGTTTCCTCTTAATTGCTCTCATTTTTCTGTTCAGGGTAGAGCCATTCTGAGAACCAGTTTGATATACTGGTAAAGATGTCGGACCAGAAAATAGGAGGCTTTGAATTCTAGTCCTCCCTTAGGCGCGAAAGGCAGCGGGGTGACTTTGGGCCAGTCACTCCCTTTCAGCCCAACCCCCCTCACAGGGTTTTTGTTATGGGGAAAATAGGAGGCAGGGGCATTATGTATGTTGCTGTGAGTTGTAAAAAAAAGAAGGGGGGATATAAATTTCAATAATAGGAAGAATTGAGTGAGGATAGTTGCTTCTTCAAGTACTTACACACACTCTGTATAAATCTGTGCCTCTGGATGATGCAATTGGAGGATTTGACCTTGCCCACCAAAAGGGAATGAGTAAAAGTTGGCTGATTTTTTTGAAGGATAAACATACCCTTTGTCTGCTCATCTTTTCTATGAGTGGCTTGAAGACTGGACTAGTTTGCTCCAGTTATCACCATCTGTTCACTTGGAGGGAAAATGAGGATGAAATGGCTGCCCCTTTGATGATTAGGCTTATATCTGTGCTGCTTAAAGACAGAAAACAAAAACCAAGAAACCATGCATTTATGCTTTCTCCCTAGGCAGTTTAGTGGGACAGTATTCCTTGCTTTGGGTCTTGAGCTGGTCAAGAGAAGAATAGGTAGGAGCAGCTCCTGGTAATTCTTCTTTGTCCATTTTCCTCTTTATCTGCTTCCAGAGCTGGCCAAGTTTAACAGAAATACCAATTCTCACTGTTTTTTTTTCTCCAACATGTTTTGAAGAGGAGAATTCAAAATAAGAGATGGCTATTTACATTTTATTTCTTTTTTCTTTACCAAATGCACTTTTTCCCCCAAAATAAAGAGCAACTTTTTCACAAATAAGCATCTTTTCACAAATATGTGTTTAATGTCTCTTCTAATTAGGTCTTTGTTCATTTGAACCATTATCGCTAGGCAGGGTCTTTCTGCAGGATTGCAGAGAGAAATCAAGCATAACTATCCTACACTTCTTTTTTAACATTTGCAATTGCTAACTCAGTGTTCAGGAGGGGCAGAAGTTGGTAGATGGTTGGGACTTCACAAGACATGTTTGGAGAGGCTTTGGATCTATAGGAGCCAACATTTTCGCAGCCCTGAATAATCCCTAATACAGGGTGAAACTTATGCTAACCCTAAAGTGGCACAAAAGGTTTTTCTCTTCTGTGGAGGATATAAAACAAAGCAACGCCTTTCCATTTTTGTTGGACCTGTGCCAACTGGGTTTTAGAGGTTTCAAAAGCTCTCACTGGGTTATTAGAGATAGGATTGATTCTGATTATTCTTCCATTTCAGATATCTTTTTAATTGTGGAGAAGGAATACAGCGCCTTATGCAAGAGCACAAGTAAGTGTACCAAAAATGCTGTAAAAAATATTGAGGTGTGTTAAATATCTTCAAATAATTCATTGATGTGAATGTCCAGTAGAGACAATGGAGAGGGGAAGGGAACCAGGGCCAACAAAGTGGAGTGCCATCAAAGATGTGGTAGGTAGCTAGAACCAAAACAGGAGCACTACCTTGCAATATTAGATGGTTGCAGGTATCTCCTATGGCTTCTGTTTTTAAATCCCAGTAATGCTGTTGTGAATTACAGCCACTGTTCTGAGAAGAAATAAGCTATGCTGGCCAGTTTCAGTGTGGAAGAACATAGAAGTGCCCCAGTTGATGCTTTAACTTAGAAAGCATAGGACTAACTTTCGTTGGCAGAGTGAGAAGGGATATATAAAGTTCATTCTTTATAATTATGCATCAGATGTTTTACCCTTTGTATGATAGTACATGAGTAGCCATTGATAGGCAGGTAGCAAATTCATGTAATATTTAAAAAACTGTTATATGCTTAATTTACAAATCAACTTTGAACCCACAGCTATAACCTGCTACAGAGCTTTGACAGTAAGGATTCATAGACTTAAAAAAAAGAATGAGAATTGCCACTTAAAAGCTGTAAGGATGGAATTCCTACATGAATCCATAACAGTTTTTCTAGTACAGGTAGCCCTCGCTTAATAACCATTCATTCAGTGACTGAAATTACAAAATGCTTAACAAATGTTAGTTATGGCTGATCCTCAAAGTTACAGCCATTGCAGTGCCCCCGCTGTCATGTGATCAAAATTTGGGTGCTTGGCAGCCCGGCTGCATTTACAGCTGCAGTGTGTGCTTCAACTTCCCCCATCCGCCTATCTCCCCCCACCCCATTCTCTGCCCTTTTGGCTGCCGTGCATGCTGCCGTTGCCTACTCCTGCTGCCCCCAGCTGACCTTTGTTGTCTTCTTCCTCCCATTGCTGATGAGGCACACCCGGCTGAGGCAGCTGCTGGCCCTTTGCAAGGTGGTGGAGTGCAAGGTGGCCAAAATGGGGGATGGGGGAGGTAAGTGGGTGGAGGGACTTGAAGCAGCAGGGCAGAAGAAGTGTGAAGTCCCTAACAATGGCACAGTCCTCTCCTAATGACCACAACTGGGACTACTGGAACTGCTGTCATTAAGCGATGCAGTCACATGTTGTTTTGCCTAACGACCACTTAGCAATGGAAATCCCAGTCCCAATTAGGGTAGTTAAGCAAGGACTATATGTACAAGACCTGTGCAAGACTACAAAACAATTTTTGTCCAGTATCTAATCTCTTTTTGGGGAAGATGGTAGAGAAGTTGGTTGTGTGGCAGCTTCAGAGGACCTTGGATGAAGCAGATTATTTGGATTCCGTTCAGTCAGGACTCGGGCCTGGGTATGGGACGGAAATCACATTAGTTGCACTTTTGGATGATCTTTGGCAGGAGTGGGATGGGGGTTGTGCATCCATCCTTGCTCTGCTTGACCTCTCAGTGGCCTTAGATACCATCAACCATGGTATCCTTCTGGATTAGCTGCGGGATTAGGCATGGGCAGAGTGATAAATAAATAAAAATGAATCAATAAATCCCATGCTGATTTTGAAATTTATTCTTTGATCATTCCTTTCCTAATATAGTAATAGGGTTTTCTTGTTGTTTATTAGTGTATTCTGTTTGCTTTATTGTTTTAATATGTCACCTGCTTGGATAATTATAAAATGAATGAATAGTTGATATTGGATTTTCTGATGGACAGAAGCATGTAGGCAGATTAGTAAATTCCATTAAAAGTTTTGTCTTTATTACAGGTTAAAAGTGGCTCATTTAGACAATATCTTCCTCACTAGAATGAATTGGGCAAATGTTGGTGGCTTGTCTGGTGAGTTAAGTAGATGAATATATTCTGTATTCCAAATTGTGCTGCCTTGAATATTCTAATTAAATAGAAATACATAAATAGGTTGAATTTATAATCCCAACAGATTTGGGAATGCATCAGTTGGAAAAGGCAGTTTTATAATGCCTGTTATTGTGAGTTGTTGAGAAGTGTATTGCATTGGCAACATTTTTACATTTTGATATTAGAAATAAATAAAAGAATAGAAAATGCTATCATGCCATGTTGGAGCATTCCTAAAACTAGTGGCACTAGGGCATCAGGTTAGAGGAGAAATGATTTGGAACAATACTCAGGGGAATAAATATTGGGAATAGTAGTGCTAGAAGTGAGAAGGACTTTTTTTTCTTTTCAGAGCCCTTGTCTAATATTTTAAATTCTAATCCTAAATGTCTAGAAACCTGGCTTAGCTAGTATTTTTCAGCAATACAATATCTGTGTCTTTGGCCTGGGAAAGTGTTTCATAATTACTTGAAAAAGTAATAAAATTTCTATTTTCTTATAATATGATATTAATAATTTTAACTGCTTATGACACCTTTGATGTCAGAAAAAATATCTATATTTGAATGCACAATTGAGAATAAAACAGTTCTTTACCTGGAATTTAGAAGTTGCCATGTATTTCTAGTTTATTATTAACATCAATTGATACATAAAGCTTTTCAACTAATCCTCTCATGTTGTAGATATTTTAAGGTCTATTCAATTTTATTTTTTTATGCAACTTTGAATAAGTAGTTAAAATGAGTATTATTTATTTATTTATTTATTCAATTTGTACAGGTAGTCCTCAAGTTATGACCGCTTGTTCAGCGACTGTTCAAAATTACAGCGCTGAACAAGGGGGACTTATTATGAAGTTGCAGCCATTGCAGCATCCCCGCAGTCATGTCATCGCGATCTGGGCACTTGAGCATCCAGCTTGCGATTATGATGTTGCAGCAAGCTGTGGTCACATGATCACCATTTGTGACCTTCCTGCCAGCTTCCCACATGCCGAGTCAATGGGGAAGCCGGCAGGGAAGGTTGCAAGTTGTTCCCATTAAGTTGCTCCCATTGCTTTTTCTCCCAAGGAGCCCCACTATGGAGTAGGAGATCCTATTCACCTGCACTCTATAGCACGTGCCTACCCGCAGCACCGCCCATCCGTGTTCTCTAGTGAACAACTCCCACAGCACCCCCCCACCTACCTGCAGCACCCCCACCTGCCCACGGCCCCTGCTGGCTCTCCCACGCTCCCCAGCACCCACCCACAGCCTTCACTGCCCCCCTGTGCTCCCCAGTGCCCGCCCACAGCCCTCACCAGCCTGTGTTCTCTAGCACTTGCCTGTGGCACCCTGCACCGCCCCCCCCCCACCGGCATCCACATGCACTCTGGTGCTCCTTAACTGGGACTCCTACCTCTTCCCACTTAACGACTCGTGTGGTCCTGGGGTTATGACGGCAACTGGGACTGCTGGCATTGCCATTGCTAAGCAAGGCTACTCTTGGCAGCTCACAACAGTGAAAACAGCATCAAAAACAATACAAATCAATAAAAATCACATTAAAACACAACAAATAACCATAGCAGCAAATTCAGTTAATACTTCACATTCAATACAGCCATTGTAAAGCTCTCATTTATGGTTTCTGGGTGGAGGAAAATGGAAGACTGATGCGCCCTTGAAGAGCAGGGACGATGCTGAGGCGAAAAACTGCAACTGGGCAGCGACCTGGATCAGAGAGCTTCTCCAGATAAGGAGAAGCCGAAGGGATCACCCACGTATGCCCTGGAAGGCACCTCCTCATGAGGAAACCAGCAGACACCTCATGAGTAGAATTCCAGAAGCAGAGGAAGAAAGATCAAGCTCACAGCTTGCAGCAAAGCCTGTAAAGGATACCGAGTTTGCCCAAACTCCACTTTCTAAAACACATTTGCATTATAATTATTTAAAAGCTATAGAGGTCTTCAGAGCAACAGAGTAACTAGACTTCCTGGTGAGTATTCATCTGGGGTGTGAATAAAGGGAACTGGAAAGAAATAAGTGCAATGATTTAAAAATAACCTACAGCAAAAATCTTGCTAAGTGTATGCAGTATGAAAATTTAAAATGGATAAAGGGGTTAGCTGAATTTGGACTTTGCTTACTTTAAAGCATTTTCAAATTAATTAAATTAAACAAGTAAATAACACATACCTTTGTGGGAAAGAGGACTATTTGGGTTTTTCAAGAGAAATTATTGGTGGATTTTTCTAAACAAGACAAGGGATCATCATTAAAGTGCATCGATTAGAATGTGTTGAATGGGACTAAAAAGTTATGGATAGAGAAAGGGGGAAAAAAGAGGTTCCCTTTTGGCTTTTGCTTTCACTTTTTGGATTACAAATTAAAAAATGGCTAATTATCAGGAAACTGGTAAAAGAAGGGAGGAGAGGATTACTAACACAGCAAATACCAGGAAAAGGGATTGCACCAGGGATGTTACAAAGGATGGTGGAGGAACTGGGAAGAATATTATGAAATCAGTGACAACTGCAGTGACTGAATTTGTTAAGAAAGACTTGGCTGAAAGAAGTGCAAATATGGAAGAGAAAATGAATTAAAAAATGGAAGAATCTGCAATACAAGTGATTGGAGAATTTAAACAAATCGAGGAAAAAATGGAGATCCCAGAAAATAAGACAGAAACAACCAGAGAAATGAATGAAGACCTGGATGTGGCATCACTGGAACCAAGAGAGGAAGAAATTCATCTGTGACTAAAAGTAATTTTGGAACAACCTGGGGAAGGCATCAAGGAGAGGGCTGTTGAAGTTTTAACAGAAACTCTGGAATGGGAAGAGGAAGATGAAGGTACAGAAGCTGACAGGATGCACAGAACCAACATAAAACGGCATACAAGTTTGAGAATGAATGAATGAATGAATGAATGAATGAATGAATGAATGAATGAATGAGAAAAATGTTTCAAGAACTATACCCGCGCACTCTGTCAGGATGAACGGTTCCTGGAGTTCCAGCCGTCCTAGCACCTCCACAGCCACGTGATTGCAATCTGGGTGTTTGGTCACCCATTCGCACTTATGACCAGTTGCCAAGCGTCCTGCAATCATGTGATCACCATTTGCCACCTTCCCTGCACGCTTCTTCAGAAAGTCAATGGGGAAGCCAGCAGGGAAGGTCGCAAGTCGCTGGGGTAAGTCTCCCACCCCCTCCCCTAGCCCCTCTGCGCTCGTGCCACACTGGCTATTCATGCACCCTCCCTGACCTGCACTGCACCTCTCGTGCACCATCCCCGACCCATGCTGCACCCTCACACACCCTCCCTGGCCCATGCTACACCTCTTGTGCACTTTCACGCACCCTCCCCATGCCTCGTGCACCCTCCCCGACCTGTATGGCACCTCACGCAGCCTCGCACGCACGACCTGTGCGGCACTTCTTGCGCACCTCTCACACCCTCACGCAACCACTTTGATCCACCCTCACACACTCTCCCTGACCCTCTCCCATGCACCCTCTCACTCCCTCCCCCACCTGGGCAGCAGCCACTTATCTGCCTGTGGACCTGGGACTTGCAACTTCCTGCCAGCTTCCCCACTGACTTTCACTGTGGGAAGCTGGCAGGGAGTTGTCTCGTCTAATGACCATGGGATTCAGTTAATGATGGCAACTAAGACTGCAGGGATTGGTGTTGCTAAGCGATGCGGTTGCGCTTTATGACCACATCCCTTAATGACAGAAATTCTGGTCCCAATTGCCTTTGTAAGTTGAGGACTATCTGTATACTGTATATCTAGTTCATATTGATAAACTTGATATATAGGCTGACAAGCAAATGACTGAGCATTGATAGAACCTTGAGGCTAATTCTGGATATGCCACCTTGTCTCTTCAGCTCTTTGGGAAAAGCATAGGATACACATATAAGAAAAGTACCAAGTTACTAATACATTTTCAGATTGGCACCAGCGCTTATAACCCTAATCTTTTTCTATCTGTGTGGCTGTAGCAGTAATCCTTTTTCAAAAATTTTCTGTAATTTTGTCTAAAGACAATTTTAACATTCAAACTCTTTATTCTTCCCTCCAGGAATGATTCTTACCTTAAAAGAAACAAGAGTTCCCAAGTGTATTCTTTCTGGACCACCACAACTGGTGAGTTGTGCTCTTTTTTGCAGTGATTACCTACTTAGTTATCTTGCAAGGATAACAGCATAGAATCAAATAGGTATTAGTAGGGCTGTGCATGCATCCATTTTTTTTTCAGAGTAAGTGCTATGATCTTGCATGAGGTTGATTAAAATATGCAGCTGCTTTAACAAGTTTACTTCTTAAAGTTAATAGGACTCTTAAGACATTCACATATTTTTTTCAGATTTCTGCAGAATAAGACAATTCAGGCTGGTTTAATTAAGAGTAGAGAGATGCTTTTCTTGCATGAGGTCTGAAGCCTATCTTTGAAGTCTTTGAAGTACTTATACTTATACTTTGAAGTATAGTTAATGTAGCTAATAAATGCTATCTGTTCTGAAGTAAGATTTCTGTGACTGATGCTGGGCTTCTGAACTGTTCACTTCTATAGTCTATACTAG